TTATTAACACTATTATTATCCCAACTACCAAATATTAGCTTCACAATATTGTAATTCCCTTATCCAAATATAACAAAATTTTAAGCAAATACCTTACTATAGCCAAACAAAAAGCACACCTTTCTTATTCTACTCCCAATAGTACTCTCCTCAACTATAATCTCTATAATATCCACAATATTTGAAATATACAATTACAACACCACATTAGTAATTTTCTTAACCATATTAATAACAACTCTACTCTTGGCACCACAACTCACATTCAACTTCAGCAACTTCAAAATAATTTTTGGTCAACTACTAATATTCTACAATACCCCCATCCTATTATTGATGGTCCAAACAAATACATAACTACCTTCAAAATTATACAACTTCTTAACTATCTACAAACTTCTATCTATGTATATACTGATTTTTCTTGACCCAAAAAAATTACTAACAGTAATACCTTACTTGAAAACATTCTTTTCAACCACTCCAAATATAATTCTTTTAAACAACAACTTCATTACAAACATATCCTTTATCAAGAACAACTTTACTCAGCTAACAATAACACTCTTCTAAACTAGTACCATCTATCTCCATGAATTTTACATATTTCTAAAGGCAAAAACCCACCTGGTTTATTTATCTTGAAAATACTATTCTTGATAACAACTCACTTTGTACTATTTTACCACATTTTCAACCTAAAGGTCTTAATCTCTTTGTATACCAAACCAACTCTATTTCTAAAACCTACAAGCCTTGAGTTCTATCCTACCGCAATGATAATATTGTAATAGGCCAAATCTGCAAAATATTCTTCAAAGCAATACTATTTTTATAACTCACTAGCAACACAATATCAATACCTCCACTCCTAACTTCTACCTACTACCTTCTATTACTTGTATACCTTGCTATGGTTGCAATCTTAACTCTAACTGAATTTCTAGCTATTGTACACTTGAAGTATCTGCTATTCTTTTACTCAATTCCTGGAAAGAAAGAAGTCTAACAAACAACTTAATCTTAATGCCAACTATATTGATTTTATTTAGTCTACTAACATTAAAAAAGCTACTGAAATACCATATATACTATCAATTAATCTCTTCAACTTATCTATATCTACTATCTTCCACAGCAATGAGGCCTCTTCACAGCTTATTTAGATTATACTAGCCAATCTTCTTTAGTACCAATTCATCTTTTATACAGATGGCTCTGTTAAACAATTTGGTACTGACCAATGCTCTATGAGTATTGGCTAGGTCCAAGTCCAAAATAACCAAATTATACAAAGCTTTTTTGCCCAAATTATAAACTGGCCTTCTTTTTATAAAACTGAACTATTAGCAATTCTATTTGTTATTTCAACTATCTTATGCAACTCTAGTTACAAATCTTTACTAACTCACAATCTGTTATATCCAAATATAACAAACTCCTAACTTTAACCCCTCACTCTACTAAAAACTTTAAATTTAACTCCTGGTCTATTTGGTACACACTTCTAAATATTCGAACAGTTTTTAATATTCAACTCTTTCTTCACAAAGTCTAGGCACACTCTGACAATACCTTTAACAACCTTGCAGACTTACTTGCCAATAACCATTCTAGCTCCTCCTTGTTATCTTTTAACTGCACCAACTTCTACAACCTCTACTTTACTATATTATAGAAAAACAACTTTGTCGATAGCTTTATTCAACAATTTATTAAAAATATACCTAATGTATACAATATAGCTCTATACTCTTCTCAATACTATGCCCAAGAATGGTCACATTTTTCTTACTAAATTAAATGGAACACCTTCTGGCTATACTTTAACAATAACTAAAAAATCTTCTATAACTTTACCAATCCTAAACTAAACCATCTAAAAGCTTTAAAAATCATTAATATTCTATCTACACATGTATACTTTCACAATATATATCCTCACTTATTCACATCTCTTAACTACTTTGCTTGTAATAACCCAGACTCTTCTTCACACTAGTACTTCTATACTAGCCATACCTTAATTCAAACTATTAATTCTACTATACACAACACTTTATTTTACTCTAATCTTAATCTCTCTTCACCCCAACTAAATAACCTTATATATGATCTCTTCACATCCTGCCATCTATTTTCAACCCTCTTAACTCTATTCATTCTCTCTTCATTCTATACTTAAAGGTCTTATACCAATTTCTTTAATTAAATTCTTAGATCTATTTAACATTTCATATTCTAATGCCTTCCAACTTATTATTAAACTATACTTAATATCTTTGACCAACTTTACAACAATATTTGGATCCTGTATAAATTTTTCTTAATAGAAAAAATCTCACCAAATCTCTCCTTATTCTAAACACCAATCACTATCTCAACCTCTTTCAACCTCCTTTAACAAGAGAAATAAAACTAACTATACCTATAACTGCCCTTGTAGTTTTGCTGACCAACTATACTCAGAATCTAATACTTGCCTTTCTTTAGAACAAGCCACTCTTAAACCTAATATCTGGTCTACTTTGTAGATCAAATACAATACACCTATTAAACATATTCTAACAATTCAAACCTAGGTGAGTCTTGACCACTCTAGTAAGTTTAGGTCACAGATAATTAGCCCAAGCTCTTAGTCTTAGCTTCTAGTTTGAGCTTTTAGTCTGAGCTCTTATTCTCGTATATAATTTATATTTATTTGTCTTTGTACAAATTAAGTTTTTATATAGTTTATATAACTACTTATATAAATTAACTAATAAAGATATGAGCAACGCCTCATCTTAATCAGAAAATTTTTAAATTGGTTTGCAATCGATTGACTAAAAGAAATATCAATCGATAAGCAGCACCTCTGTCAATTATTAGCGATACTGATTAGATTCAATTGACAATAAAGTTGCTAATTAAAATTGATTAGAATCACTTTGATTGAAATTGATTAATATCAAAGCTAAATTAAAATCAATTATTTTTAATTGATTGTATATCGATTAACTACCAATATCGGTTATTGTTAATTTTCCTAATTGATGGCAATCACCTCTGCAGCTAGTAATCGATATCCACTCTATTTAAAAATTTCCTGATCTTAACAAAAAAAAAAGAATTACATATTCTATTGACACTATTCATTTCAGCATCTTTCATTATTTTTTTTTGAATTCCAATTCTAAAAGCTGTCACCACTTTCTTTTTACCTATATTTATCATTTTAAAGAACTTTTTGCAGTTAAATATATTAACTATTATTATTAACATATTAATAGTTACTTTAATTATTGCTATATGGGATCTCCTACAGCAAAAGGGTATATTGGGCCAAAAAATTTTTTTTATTTTAATTGATTTTTTGAAGAATTAGACTAATAGGATTACAATTTTTATAAAATTACAAAATTCAAATTTTTGTTTCAATGCACTCTTTAGCTGTAGGAGTCCTCATATACCAATATAAATCGCTTATATGCAATATTTTTAATAAAAAAAAAACCTATCTATTAAGTTGCTGAAAGGGTGCTCGAGGTAATATAAATTGATAATTTTTTTGTACTGAATTCTCAGCTAAAGGACTCTTGTTTGTATCAATCTAATAATCTGGTGCTTGCAAAGTAATCTGGTAAGCTTGGGACATAATAGTAGGTCTAATAAAATAAATAAAAAAATGATTAGTATTTAGAATAAAAAAATAAAAAAATAATATCATATTAGTAAAATTTTTATTAACAAAATAACCCTTTAGAACTATATAAATTATTGTTCAAAAAGAATCATTTTGCTAAAGCAAAACTCTATTCAAACTCTTACTGTTCAAAAAATTCACCTGAATCTGTTATAAATTTGCAAGTAATAGTGCCACAATGAAAAATACAATTGTTTTCTTTAAACTTTGATTGTAACAAACTGAAGTTTACTACATATGAACTATCATGATTTTTAAACAAAATGTAACCAATAGTTATCAACTTTGGAACTGTAAAATGTTCTAATGTCATAGTTGACTAATTGCTTTAATCGTAGTTCACCATCTTCATCCTGAAAAAAACAAGAATATTTTCATCATACAGGACTATAGCGGAAATAAGGTTCATTCTCAAAAAGATAAACAAAGATATTTTCTGGAAAAGCATTAATAGAAACTTGTTTTGTGCCTATTGAATGCCTATTAAAACCAAGACGTTTTTTGATAAGAACTATAAACACATCTTGATAAAATGTACCTTGCTCAAGGGGAGGTTGAATAAGTAGCTTGCAATGAGCTATAGTTTTGTTATTTTTATGTTTAATTCTTTCATGAGCCACAAGCTCTTTTCGAGAAGGAAAAATCGGTTGACATAGTTGGCATTTACTAGCCTTTGAATTACTAACGCTAATTTTTGTGATTCCTGTAAGCAAAAAATTTTTATTGGTCAATTATTTTTAGATATCACAAATTTCGATATCTCATTTCTAAATTAGGTGATATAATCGAATGGAAACAAATCCGCCCAATATGATCGAAAGAAGGCATTTTTTTTACAAAAAAATACGGAAATAACTCTGAATTTTAATTAAGAAACCATATACTGCGGCCTAATTAAAAATGCCCCTTGTGAAATTTTACTATTAGACATTGAGTTATTCTGACCCTAACCCTAAAACAACGTTGTTTTATTCTTGATAATAAATTACAGGGAGGGGAAAATTTTTGAGGGTACGCTACCTAAAATGTACCATACAGCACGCTTATTTCTAACGTCTTTTAAACAGCTCAAGCACCTAATTTTTAGCCAAAACAATTAAAATTCACATTTGATATACATTCCGTTCCTGGCTTTTGCGTGACAATGGCATGCAACTATCTTATGTAATAATAAAAATCAGATTATATCAAAGACTATCAGTATTTATTTTCAGTGTTACAAATGTACTATTGTACTCATGCATTTCAGCCCATCTATATCCATATATAAATAAATCCTTTGTTTATCGGACAGATTCATTAGGCCTTTACAATCATGTCTTCTGTTGCGAACGCCGCTCTTAATACTGCTGTTGACATTGTAGCCATCTATATTCCTATAATAACAGCGGTAAAAACCCTAGTAAAGGAAATTTATACAATTTATGAAGCTGCCGAATTTAATAGTGAAATTTGTTTAATTATGAAAAATCGAGTAATAAAGGCAGAGTGTTCCGTTGATACAATTATTAAAGACACAAATAATGAAAAAAAATTGCGCGAACAATCTTATTTTTTAGCTTTTAAAAGTTTTGAAAACGTTTTGCTAAAAATTAAAGATTTTGTTAAAAATGTATCAAAACTTAAAGGTTATAAAAAATATCTCAATGCAACAGAAGTTAAGAATAAATACTTGCAATTGACTGAAGAATTTGATACATGCATGGGTGATCTGCATTTTGCTATCGATGTTGCTAATAAAAGTGAGAGAGAAGAAGAAGCCAAAAAAGTCGATAGAGCTCTAGAAAACGTTGAAAAAGTAAGTAGAATTTTAATATATATTACTTATTATATCAGGTTTAAATTTTTTTTTATGCTTATCTATTTTAGAATCTCGAGAAACTTGATGATAAAGTTACTACGATAATGAATAATTTAGAACTTCTACAAAAAAAATCAGATGTTCATGCGAAGAGGATTGATCCGGCCGACTTACATGATCCTGTATTTCGAAATAAAAATGATATTCGTCGTCAGGTCTTTAGGAAGGTTATTTATCAAGTGGCTGATGTTGCATGTAAACCTATTAAAGACTCTAGTCGGTATCAAACTGAATTAGCAATTCTTGGAAAATTAAGTAAATTACCATACATTCTTCCTTTTTATGGTCTATCACGTGCTGATACTTGTGATGGTAATCGTGAAGTTATGGTTTTTGAATGGGCCCATCATGGGACTTTGACAGAGCTCTATAACAATTTTGATATTCCTTGGGCTAGAAAAATACTAATTGTTCGAGATATTTGTCGCGGTATTGTATTTTTACGTTGGGCGAATGTTTTTCATCACGATCTTAGATGCGATAATATTTTTGTAAGTAAATTAAGTCTTATTTATTATGTAACAAAGGCAATTATTAATGCGTTAAATTATAGGTAACTCAAAATCTGGATGTAAAACTTGGAAATTTCAAATATTCGCGTCCAGTAGATGCAAATACTACGAAACTTTCAGACATAGTACAACATATTCGTTGGATGGCCCCTGAACAAATCGAAAAGTATACAAAAATAGCTGAAAAAGGGTATACTCTGTTTTGCGAAATATTCAGGTTTTGATGCTTTAATTATAAGATTATGTGGGCTAGATACTGGAAAAAGGAACGAAATTGACAAAAAAAAAAAAAAGATCTTTGAAAATTAAGAAAATACAAACTTTTAAAGAACTATACTACAAAATTTTATTAATACAACTATTTTATGCCTTTAAGTGAAAAAAGATCCTAATCTTATTCTAAATTGATTTATGTAAAAAAATTTATTTTGAAAAAATTGTCAAATTTGTCTCTTTTTCCAGCACCCATCCCATATTTTCTTTCTGAATTTTCGTTGACCGTAATGAGAAATTTTGATAAGATGCTAACAAGTGCCATTTATATTTTGAAAAAGTCCTAATGGATTTGTAAGTCTGTAATACTTGTATTCGTATTTTAAATAAAACATAATTATAATGTTTTATTTGTTCTTTAGCTACAATCAAGTGGATATTCACACAACACTTCCAATAATGATCGAATTGTAACACTACTATTCAAACATTAGCATTCAATATGATGATTTTTATATGGTTTGATAAAATGATTATAGGAAAAGGCAAAAAGGGTTGTGGTTTCTTCACATGCCAGAATCATCCAAGATGTCAACACGTTTTGATTTGATATTATTATCAGAATTTTATAGAATTTCCTGTACCATTGCTCCCAAACTGATAGTTTTAAACTTGAATATTTGTTGATTAGGATCAAATATACCATTGTGTTCATTAAATATGGACATTAATGGATCATTTATTGAATCGGAATTGTTATCAGCAATTATTCCGTTTACCTTCGATGGACGTAATAAATTTAAGGGAGTTTTGAAACTTATGGCAATTTTTCACGTACATATGTTAAGGGTTAAGATTGGGCATAATATAAATATCATATTAACTTGGCCTTTTATTTTTATTTTTTCAGGAAATAATCCTCAAACAAATCATGCTGATACAAAAATAGATCTTGCGGATCTAAATCCTATTCAAGATTGATTGATCAAAGATTTAAAATTTCTGATGACTTATTAAGTCTTATTGGCTATGATTTTTATTGTCATTAATGACACGGTGAAAAACTTTTTTATCCTATATTATCTCTCACTACATTATTATATCGCCATTAATTATTCTTACTTATGACATGATCATTTTTTGTTATGTGATTTGCGCACATAACAGCAGATTGTAATTAAGAATTTGAATCATTTAACCGCATAAAATTTATAAATTTGCATGATTTCAACCGTCATCCTAAAATTTTAGAGAATGGCATTAAAGCCATTTAAGTTAAACAGCTAAACACCGTTAAACGATTAATTGTTGAAAAAATTTTTAAGTGTCTCAATTAATTATAAAGAGGTAATTATAAAATGAAATCAGTAAAATAAGATGGAAGGTTTCTATTTAACCCCCTACTCGTTTATTATAAAATCTACCTCTAAATCAAATTCTAAAAAAAAAAATGCCTCAAACTTCTCTGTATTTTTTGGAGCTTGTCTATTTTACACTACCCTAATTTCATTTTAATCTGTCACAGTTGTAATTAAATTATAAAAACAGAAATTGCCTCTTTAATATATAGACTTAAGTCATGTACTAGTCCTTATAGCAATTCTATTGAAGGTTCATAGTGCAAAATGTGATGTTAAATTTTGACCAATCAAAAAGATCTGCTAAATATTTTACACTAATTAAAATCCATTATGAAAAGCTTCTTTTGTTCAAAGGGTTTTTTATAAACTGTACAATACATATTTTATTAGTTATACATATTGACAACCTTAAAGGCAATATTTTTTTCTTTCTCATTATTTTCACGTTTTTAAACTATTCTATATGTAAAAATTATAAAAAAAAAAACTGTGAAAAAAAGCGTACAGATTGTTCTTTGAATTCGAACAACAAAATAATACTAAGGTACAGTATGAAGAAAAAAATGTGCTTTTTAGAAATAAAAAGGACAGAATTGAATAGAAATAATTTTTTAGATATGATACCTCTAATAACGGTGTTTTCGTTTTATTATTAAAATTTATAATTTTATTTTTTTAATTTATTCGATTAATTATTTAGAATTTTTTAATTGGCACAAATCACTTTTGCTGATTAATGCACCACACATTCAACTTAGCGTCCCCACAAAATCAAAATTTAAGATCAGGTGTGACGTGGTATTCAAAACAAATGTGTTTCGTTCCCTAAATTATAAAAGTTGCGTATAAAATAAGTTAGGGTTAGACTTAGAACAATATAGCTCCTATTGGTAAATTTCACAAGGAATATTTTTAATTAGGCCGCAGAAAGTGGTTTCCTAATCAATTTGGTTTCGTTTAGCTGTTAGATTTTACGTTACATCTGATCTTGAGAAAATGTGTACGGTGCAGGAAATTCTATGTCGAGATGATGCATAAACGGGTCCGTATTATTTCATCGGCAATACTTTATCGACAAGTTCATTTTACTGACAGTCTATTTCACTGAAGCTCATTTCACTGACAAATTTTTTTTTATATTACACTAACTTTAACTTTAATTCTAACCTAACCCTAATTAATATTGACCAGAATTACTTTGTAAAATGAGCTTCGGTGAAATAAACTGTCGGTGTAATGAACTTGTCGGTAAGTAATTGTCGGCGGTGTTTACGAAGTGAGTTGATCAGATCCCCCAAAATAGTGATATTTCTAGCAAATTGCTACAAATAGCTAGCTATGTTTTTTTTGTTAAGATGCGAAATATAATTATAAGATTTTTTCTTTTGTCTGTAAACAATTGGCAACCTTTGAATTTATCTGTGATAACCTTAGCAGAGACCACGAACATATGTGGTCACATAACAAGCGCATAAAATGTGATTAATTGTTATTGTTTCTACGAGATTTATGCGACATTATATGCGGCATTTTAAACGAATAATAAAAGCATATGTACAGTATACGTATAATTGTTAAGTTTCTTTTTTATCATTTTAATTCCATAATTACTATAATTACCATATTACGTATGCAATGATAGATCAAAATTATAACAGTACGTACGAAATATGTATATGGTTTCTCGCATATCGCATAATTGAAATTATCACCTCACACAAAAATGCTTTTGGGTCTTTAAACCTTAGTACAAGTCAGATTCGTTTATGCTTTTTATAAATATAAGTTGTTATTTTTTTTTAAAAAAAAAAAACAATTACGAATTATATTATAGTTCAAAAACTGGAATGAGCCTAATTCACGTAAACGATTGCTAATTTGCTATTTTTACTATTTTTACTACCTATTTTTGCTAGCTATTTCGACTATTAATAGCTGGACACTGATCGGAAATAAATTTCCTAAATTATCGACCTCAATAAGCGAAGGTTTAGAACTCTCAATCTCTTTGCATAAAAACAATAAGCAAAGAATAATATGTACAGTACGTACATAATAGCATGCTATATATTAAGAATGACAAATTAAGTTCCAATGAGTTAACTAGTTAACTAACCTTTATTCTATACATTGAAGTTATTAGATTTCCTGCACCGTACGTACGTACCAGGTTGGGATCGGATAATTGTCCGGAATAGAAATAAACAATTAGAACTAGAAACAAAAATTACGTATGTCATCTAATTAATAAATGTCGCGGATTATGGTGAAATCGGATCATCGTGAAATCTAGGGCCTTAATTTAAAAATATAAACCCTCACAACCCTA